AAAAAAGCACCTAAAGGACCCTCAGACTGTGAGAAACAATATTATCTGGTCTGATGAACCTCAATTCCAAGCATTATGTTTGAAGGAAACCAGCTCTGCTCATCACCTGCAGAGTACCATCCCAAAAGTAAAGTGTGCTGGTAGCAGCCTCATGCTGTGGGGCTGTTTTTCAGTGGCAGGAACTGAGGGACTCGTCAGAGTAGAAGAAAAGTTAAATGCACCAAAATATTGAGATAGCCTTAATAAAAACCTAGTCCAGAGCATTCAGAAACTCAAACTGGGCAGAAGGTTCACCTTCTAACAGGACAATGAACCTAAACACAGCAAGAGTACACCACGAATGTCCTTGAGTGGCCCAGCCACAGCCTGGGATTGAACCCAGTCGAATATTTCTGGAGAAACCTGAAAATGTGCATCTGCCCCCATTCAACCTGACAAATATTCAACATCGCTACTCATCATAAGTACTTGGTACATTTTCAGCGCAGCGGGAGACATTCAAGCATCACGTTATTTACATCTCTATGATGATTGGTTGATATACCTGAAGGCCCCTGCTAGGTTTCTTTTCTCAACACTCCTCAATGCTGAAAGTGAACACTCGAAGCTGATTGGCTCAGCTCTCCCCCGACCTCCCCTTCTCTATCATTTAGCAGTTGTAACATCAACAGATTCGGCACATTCGCGATAGAAAAAATGGCGCTTTCCAACTTCAGTAACATGTTTTGGTATTACAGCTGTGAAATTACAAACAAAAATACACATGCTGAGACATGAACTGAAATGAATTGTGAATTTTATTAACATTAAAGCTGTGCCTCCCCTGTCTCCCCCAACAAGCGGCCACTTTCTTCAAGAATCGGCTAAAAAACACATCTCTTCCATCTTTATTTGACCCTCTAACTCTAGCACTCTCTATTCTAATTGTTTTTTTGTTTTTTTTAATGGGGAAAAAAACATGCCCATTTGTGCCCATTTTTAACTTGTACCCTATTCATTTACTAACTGCTTGTTTTCTTAAAAATAATAATAATAACACTAGCTTCTCCAATCTTTTTGTATTCTATCTATTTGTTTTCTTTTTATTTATTATACAATTAACAAAAGCAAAAAAGGCCTCTAACTAGCTTGATCTATTCTTTTTCTGTTCTATCTGTTTTATTTTTATTTTTATATAATTTAACAAAAGCAAAAAAGGCCTCTAACACTAGCTTGATCTATTCTTTTTCTGTTCTATCTGTTTTATTTTTATATTTTTAGCCTATATAATAAAAAAAAGCTTGCGTGTACTGCGTTAAGCTAACTGAGACTTGTTATAGCACTTGCATATCATTGCTCTTTTGTTGGTTTTGATTGCTTCCACTGTCCTCATTTGTAAGTCGCTTTGGATAAAAGCGTCTGCTAAATGACTAAATGTAAATGTATCCACAGGCGCGATCCCACTACTGATCGGCACGTGGGCTTTGACCTGCTCCGTCTCCGACCACCCCTCCTTAGATGACCTGGTGGTCCCGAGTTCCCCCAGGAGCACCACATAGATACTAAACTTAGTGCGGACACCCGATGAATAAGTGCATAGCTAGCTTAGTGTATAGTGCATAATGTTATAGTATCATTGCTCTTTTGTTGATTTTTATTGCTTCCATTGTCCTCATTTGTAAGTCGCTTTGGATAAAAGCGTAAAAGCGTCTAGGTTTCTTTTCTCAACACTCCTCAATGCTGAAAGTGAACACTCGAAGCTGATTGGCTCAGCTCTCCCCCGACCTCCCCTTCTCTATCATTTAGCAGTTGTAACATCAACAGATTCGGCACATTCGCGATAGAAAAAATGGCGCTTTCCAACTTCAGTAACATGTTTTGGTATTACAGCTGTGAAATTACAAACAAAAATACACATGCTGAGACATGAACTGAAATGAATTGTGAATTTTATTAACATTAAAGCTGTGCCTCCCCTGTCTCCCCCAACAAGCGGCCACTTTCTTCAAGAATCGGCTAAAAAACACATCTCTTCCATCTTTATTTGACCCTCTAACTCTAGCACTCTCTATTCTAATTGTTTTTTTGTTTTTTTTAATGGGGAAAAAAACATGCCCATTTGTGCCCATTTTTAACTTGTACCCTATTCATTTACTAACTGCTTGTTTTCTTAAAAATAATAATAATAACACTAGCTTCTCCAATCTTTTTGTATTCTATCTATTTGTTTTCTTTTTATTTATTATACAATTAACAAAAGCAAAAAAGGCCTCTAACTAGCTTGATCTATTCTTTTTCTGTTCTATCTGTTTTATTTTTATTTTTATATAATTTATAAAATTAACAAAAGCAAAAAAGGCCTCTAACACTAGCTTGATCTATTCTTTTTCTGTTCTATCTGTTTTATTTTTATATAAGTTATATATATTAAAAAAAAAACTTGCCACGTGAACTACGTTGAGCTAACTGAGATTTGTTATGTTGAGATTTGTCGCTAGTGAGCGACACCTCGTGGTACCATCACAGAGAGGCTCAAAATCACTTTCCAGAACATTCTCATTCACCGTTCCTGGCTGGTGGAATGATCTTCCCACCCCTATCCGGAATGCTGAATCCCTGACCATTTTCAAGCGGCAGCTTTTTTTTTTTTCTTCTTTATTTATTCCTTTCCGTTTTCTAGCTTGTACTTATTTGAACAATGCCTAAAACTTGGTAGTTCAAGCACTTCCTGTGTCTGTTTGGCTTTTTAAGAAGAATCACTTTATGTATTCCCCAATTGTAAGTCGCTTTGGCTAAAAGCGTCAGCAAAATGACTAAATGTAAATGTTATAGCACTTGCATATCATTGCTCTTTTGTTGATTTTTATTGCTTCCATTGTCCTCATTTGTAAGTCGCTTTGGATAAAAGCGTCTGCTAAATCAGTGTTTCCCAACCGGGGTGCCGTGTCTGTGGAGAGCAGGGGTGCCGTGTAAAAAAACATTTTTTTATATTTTTAAATTGCTAAAATGTTCAAAAAAGCATCTATTATATAATATCCATTTCTGATGTCGCCAATAATTAGAGATGCACCGAAATTTCGGCTGCCGAAAATTAGTTCACCGCTCATTTTTAACTTGTACCCTATTCATTTACTAACTGCTTGTTTTCTTAAAAATAATAATAATAACACTAGCTTCTCCAATCTTTTTGTATTCTATCTATTTGTTTTCTTTTTATTTATTATACAATTAACAAAAGCAAAAAAGGCCTCTAACTAGCTTGATCTATTCTTTTTCTGTTCTATCTGTTTTATTTTTATATAAGTTATATATATTTAAAAAAAACTTGCCACGTGAACTATGTTGAGCTAACTGAGATTTGTTATGTTGAGATTTGTCGCTAGTGAGCGACACCTCGTGGTACCATCACAGAGAGGCTCAAAATCACTTTCCAGAACATTCTCATTCACCGTTCCTGGCTGGTGGAATGATCTTCCCACCCCTATCCGGAATGCTGAATCCCTGACCATTTTCAAGCGGCAGCTTTTTTTTTTTTCTTCTTTATTTATTCCTTTCCGTTTTCTAGCTTGTACTTATTTGAACAATGCCTAAAACTTGGTAGTTCAAGCACTTCCTGTGTCTGTTTGGCTTTTTAAGAAGAATCACTTTATGTATTCCCCAATTGTAAGTCGCTTTGGCTAAAAGCGTCAGCAAAATGACTAAATGTAAATGTTATAGCACTTGCATATCATTGCTCTTTTGTTGATTTTTATTGCTTCCATTGTCCTCATTTGTAAGTCGCTTTGGATAAAAGCGTCTGCTAAATCAGTGTTTCCCAACCGGGGTGCCGTGTCTGTGGAGAGCAGGGGTGCCGTGTAAAAAAACATTTTTTTATATTTTTAAATTGCTAAAATGTTCAAAAAAGCATCTATTATATAATATCCATTTCTGATGTCGCCAATAATTAGAGATGCACCGAAATTTCGGCTGCCGAAAATTAGTTCACCGCTCAGGTTTCACTTTCACGTGGTGTGACGCTCTGTGTGTTATCCCGCTCTATGCGTGTGTGTGCCCCGCTCCTACCTGAAAAACTAAAAAGCAATTTTTTTATTCGAAGACCTGTCGTTATTTTTTTATTTGTGCTATCATTATTAATTTCTTTATTTGTTCTTATTTTATTACTGACTGCTTACTTCATTTTTATTCAATTCAAAGTTTGAAATCAAGCTATCTTGTGCTACTGCATCAAAATTACCCCACTGTAAAATTAAAAAAACACTGAGTGAGCAAAAATTTGTGAGATAGCTAGTTACAATGGTAATTAAATAATGTTTACATATGTATAAAAGCCTACATTAAAATCGGTCATATAAATTGGTATCTTCATTAAAAATTAGCCTACTGATTGCCACCATTGATGAACAACATTTTTTAATAATATTAAAAATATCTGTATGACATTATATTCTGCAGCTCTTCCCTGTTGTACCGAATATCTATAATTTTCAAATTATCATATCGAAGTTAGAAATTCAAATATTGTGACAAAATTAATTTTGTAGGGTGCCACAAGTACTTCATTTTTATTCAATTCAAAGTTTGAAATCAAGCTATCTTGTGCTACTGCATCAAAATTACCCCACTGTAAAATTAAAAAAACACTGAGTGAGCAAAAATTTGTGAGATAGCTAGTTACAATGGTAATTAAATAATGTTTACATATGTATAAAAGCCTACATTAAAATCGGTCATATAAATTGGTATCTTCATTAAAAATTAGCCTACTGATTGCCACCATTGATGAACAACATTTTTTAATAATATTAAAAATATCTGTATGACATTATATTCTGCAGCTCTTCCCTGTTGTACCGAATATCTATAATTTTCAAATTATCATATCGAAGTTAGAAATTCAAATATTGTGACAAAATTAATTTTGTAGGGTGCCACAAGCTTGTTAAAATTTCCAAAGGGTGCCGCGACTAAAAAAAGGTTGGGAAACACGGTGCTAAATGACTAAATCCAGTTGGGGGCGGTAATGCACCTAAGCTGGTTTTCCAACCGCTAATAAACCATAGAAGAAGAAGAAGAAGACGAAGAAGCAGAAGCAACAGAAGAAGAAGAAGAATGAGGAGGACTAAAATGTGTTAAAAAGAAGAAGTCTGATCGGTGGAAGTAAATGAATCGTCGGATTGAAAGGAAGCTGCTTTTTTAAAACAATATTTCCAAGACTCAGTAATAAAGACGGTTCAGGTATGTGAACCGGTTTTTTTTTCACAGGAAGGTCACAGGAAAGCTCCAATAACTCTTTAGTAAAAATGAATGAAAATGAAAATGAAACGAAATTGCGCTGACTCATCACCATAATAAAAGCGAATTGACAAATTTGCATACTCCACGTGTCGGCAATCGGCGGTACTGTGTAATTATTATTATTTAATCTAATACATGTTTCTGTACAGAACTTAGTAATATTTCAAAACATACTGAAATGATTGTATACAGTGGAGAGACGTAATTAGGCGCAAATTTAGCCATGGAGCGAACACGGAGGGATTGTTATGTTAATAACAATAAATTGTTACGTTGCACTTGCATGGGGCCTGTCCCAATACACACACTTGCGTCTTTGCACTTGGCCACTTGTCTACTTACATGACGTATTTCCTGTATTTGGACCAAGTGTTCGAGAAGGCATGAAGAGTGTAGAACTTTTGATTACCAACACACTACATCATACAATTGTATATATGCAAATAACGTTTTTAAAGGGCTTTATTTACACATTCAAACTCGTACTCAACTTTGAAGTAAAATGTAAAGTAAATGGCTCCTTATAACCCCCTTTTAATAACACTTATTTTATTGTTTTTATTTTGCAGGTGATTGTAAGAAGATGGTATTGAAAGAGATTCCAACAGACAATATCACTCGCCCTTTGGGCCGTAACGAGGTCATGGGTTTACTCTTTCGCCTCACAATATTTGGTGCCGTCACATATTTTACAATAAAGTGGATGGTGGATGCTATAGATCCAACAAGAAAACAGAAAGTTGAGGCACAAAAACAGGTATCCTGTTTAATTTCAGTAGTTTACGGGATTTTGTAGAAATTGTGATTTTACAAAATTCTTAAATGTACCCCATTTTTATTTGTTTACTTTCTTATCCTATATAGTCCTAGCCACTTTTCATGTAGACTGAATATTCTAATGTCATTTTATTGTAATTTGTTCCATTGTTTGCCACAGGTTTGTTTAAGATAATACAAGTTAAGATGCCTTACTAAGTTGAACTTTAGGCAAAGCATAGCTTCACCAAAAACTGAAGTTTAATGTTAAGTTTTATTGCTGCCTCACAGGCAGAGAAACTCATGCGGCAGATTGGAGTGCAGAATGTGAAGCTTTCTGAATATGAGATGAGCATTGCAGCTCATCTTGTGGATCCATTGACTATGCAGGTGAGGAATTATATCACAGTGTGACTTTATTTACCAGTCCTTAATTGTCTCTATCACAGTCTACTTGTATATTTTAAGAGCTTATGCAAGTTACACAAATCATTCATGTGTGTCCACAGATTACATGGCGTGACATTGCAGGTCTGGATGAAGTCATAACTGAACTGAAAGATACTGTTATACTTCCGATCCAGAAGAGACATCTGTTTGAAGGATCCAGGCTTCTTCAGCCACCCAAAGGTAGGCACTAGGATGGAAATGTTTCCTGAAAGTGTTTATAACTGAACTCCACACTTTATTCTGAGGTGGTTTGCGTGTCGTCATCTCAGGTGTGTTGCTGTATGGGCCTCCAGGCTGTGGGAAAACTCTTATAGCCAAAGCTACTGCCAAAGAGGCTGGATTCCGCTTCATTAATCTGCAGCCTTCCACTCTCACTGACAAATGGTATGGAGAATCCCAGAAACTAGCGGCAGCCGTGTTTTCACTGGCCATCAAGTTACAACCTTCTGTTATCTTCATCGATGAGATTGGTAAATGCATATTTAGGTTTTTATATGTCCCTCATACACCCCTTTATATTGATATACTAGTAGTTATTAATTTTATGCTTTGCTTTTAAAGCTAGATCTGTTTAGCTTCATTGCACATTTATGGATCACTGAAAATCTGCTTTTGAACCTTAATCGGTTCATTTTACTCCTTTAAAGTCACATAAAATGGCAATAAGGTTCTATATATTTGTCATTTGAGCTTTTCACACCTGAAATAGTTAACCCTGTGTCATTCTAGTTTCACACCACATGATTTACCCGGTGTTAATCCTGGGAAGTCATAAAATGACATTTCACACAAGATTCCTAAACCCCAGGTTAATGTTCTTATTTGCATATTTGTGGTGTCAGTGTCATTGACCAGAACGCACCACACTACGTGTTTACATAATCACTCTAGCATTGGGCATTCTCATATTATATATTGCTTACAGTACTATCAAGTTTTTCAGAATAGACTTTTCGGACAATAAGTGTAAGAAGGAAAGAAAAAAACAAAGGTCTCTTCTTTACACTAATCTATGTGACATCTCAAACTCTGAAATGTTTACATTGTGCTGTGTTTCCGTGACTCTGTGGTTTCATTTCTCCCAGGTAAAAAGCAGGGTTTAGAACTACGATAACCCAGGGTTAAGCACAGTGTGAAAGGCCTTCTTTTGAAGTAACTTCTGTTCATCTTTATGTCTTAGATTCCTTTTTGAGGAGTCGTTCAAGTTCAGACCATGAGGCCACCGCCATGATGAAGGCTCAGTTCATGAGCTTATGGGACGGACTGGATACTGACTACAATTGCCAGGTACAATTAAGATTTTATTTTATTTTTTTTTGTGATTACTTGTTTGGTCAGTGACCCAAGATTGTGATTGTTTTCTGCACAAAGGTCATAATAATGGGAGCCACCAATCGGCCACAAGATCTTGATTCTGCTATACTCCGAAGGATGCCCACAAGATTCCACATCAATCAGCCTGTAAGTCCACTCCAAATATCTTTATAAGGTTTAAATTAAAAATGTAATTTTACTGTTGAATCGATAAACTCCGTAGTGCTTTTTATAAATTATCATTTGTCGTGTGTGTATTTAGAATATCAAGCAGAGGAAAGACATATTAAAACTGATCCTGGAGAATGAGAATGTAAGTATTTTATTAACTCAACTGAATGGCTATTGAAAGTTGCAAGTGCTGAAAGGATAATTTTTCCTTTTCTGAAGGTGGAGTGTGCTGTGGACTTTGGTGAAATTGCAAAACAGACTGATGGGTTCTCAGGAAGTGACCTCAGAGAGATGTGCCGAGATGCTGCTCTGCTTTGTGTGCGTGAATTCGTGCACCAAGAAAGGTAAGTAAACAAAGGGCTTCAGACTCGGCACAAAACGTATCAAGCTTTTTTTTTTAAACCTTTATCTGAAGTTTTGGGCTCTGTTGTCACATTTACATAATGTCTGGCATAAACAGTTTAAATCTGAATCATTGTGAAACTGATATACGCCGCGTCCTTATTAATTCTCCTCCATCCCATGACAGTCCAGATGAAGACTTCATCCGCCCAATCAGGCAGGAAGACTTGCAGAGGGCAATCGAGAAGATGAGGAAGTCCAAATCTGCTGGAGTGCATGAGGCATTTATGCATGTACCACTGGACTGAATGTGATGCTGCGGTTTTAAAAAAACAAAAAAACAAGAACCTAGATTTGGTGTGTTTCTCTTATTTGTGGCATATCGTCAAGTTTTGCAAAAGGGGGAACTCAGGATTTATAAATGGTTGAATGGAATCTTTTTTTGCACTGTAATTTCCATAATGCTTTTGCCATTCAATCAATGAGCCTTATTTAAAGAAACAAGAATGAATTTGAGTAAATCATGTGTAAAACCATTCTTAAGTAAATTGTTGCTTCAACGGGACAGTTTATAAAAGAATGAACGATTCACATTAAAATTTGTTCGGCTTGTTTCAAGAATAAGACCCATTGTGTTTGTCTTCATAGGTTTGCTTTGGCTTGTGTGGTTTTGTTTGTTCTTTAAAACCCTGTGAGAGGTTTGTGTAGATGGGCAACAGTGTAGTTACTATTTCCAGGCACCTATTATTTTTTACATCATCAACAATATGTAACCATTCAGCTGATTTGTGAGCACAAAAAACAAAGTGTGTTCATTAACACAATTTTAACTTGGATCAACTTCACCGGTTTGTTTTCCCCCAGTGAGTGAATGATTTGATTGAGATGCATTTACAGATTTATAAGCCATTTATATTGAATAAGATTAAAGCATTGAGTAGAGGTTATGTGATTGCATGTTGTATAGATATTTATTTGCAAAACCTTAAATATGCTTGCACAGAATATTTGGGGCCAGTGCCAAGCCGCTGCTGTTAGGTATGTACTTGTCTGTCAGGTGTTATTTTGGGGGGTGGAGTGGGCGAAGAAGACTTCAAAGTGGAAAGAAAAAGTATTCTCCTGGAGAAACCGGTCTATGGACTGAACAACCATTTTAGATTGCCAGCAATACAATTGTACAGTTGTATACAAGTATTTTTCAGTTATTAGGTTTTCTAATTCACAATAGTCTGCTGCTCTTTTCGGTCTAAATGTGTTTAGATGTCAGAATATGTTTGAAATGTTTTGTTTACACTGTAGAATAATTGAATGACAATTGTTTTGTCTTAATGAAGTTTATTGGAATGACTGCCCGATGCACATTACATCAAATACTGCAAGAAACAGTGTAAATCTCACAAGTTTGTACAAAACGTAGAAAGAAGTAAATACATTTCCTGTAAGAGAATAAATATGTTAGGTTGGTTTATTTAGAAAATGGTAAGACAATAAATATGCTCTTGTTCCTTCACATTGGATTCCTCAAGAGTTTCATGTTTATGCATTCAGCACAAACATTTCACAATCATGCATCACTCTTTACAGTAACTCGTTCATTTGGGAATGTAACAATGCCACATTTACATTAAGGCACACTGAAGTGCACTGCAAGACGATATTGTTAATGTCAAATACATCTGTGGCTGGTACTGAATGTTTTTTTTTTTTATTCTTATAAAGAACGTTATAGGATTATTCTGTATCCAGTGTTGGGGAAAGTTACTTTTAAAAGTAATGCATTACAATATTGCGTTACTCCCTAAAAAAGTAACTAATTACATTATGGAAAATTACTTTTTATGGAAAGTAATGCGTTACGTTACGTTTGCGTTACTTTTTAAATCTGGGCTGGGCTTATTTGTTTGTTTTTAATATAAAAAGTTGTTCTTTTACAAATGTAAAAGCCCTTTCACAACAAAAGTGAAAGGAATGAGCCTCAGGCTGAAGGGAAAGTGAATTCACATCTCTACAGTAGAGGGCGCAGCTCAAACAATTTGCATGAAAAATAGGACTCAGGAGAAGAAAGTTCAACACTACTCAGCAATAACAAAAACTAAACACAAATGTGTCATTTTTGCTTAGTATGGTTGAATTGGATCATCGAAGGTCAGCAGCAAAAACATTGGTTAATAAAATGGAATTAAATACATAAATGACATTGGTCTTATTTAACATTTAATTATTGCAGGTTTGTATAATGTTCTGAGTTTGCATTTGACTGTTTTTATTCATTTTGAGGAATACTCAATCTGTTCATATTTAGTGTAGAACTACAGTAAGCATAACGTTCACACAGCGCACACAACGCCTCTGCACATACTCCTGATTTCTCTCAATATGGCAACACAAGAGCTGTCAGTCAATACATGGGGGAAGAAAGTAACTGGAGTTACTTGTTTGAAAAAGTAACTCAGATATTTCCTTCTAAATTAAAAAGTAATGCATTACTTTACTAGTTACTTAAAAAAAGTTATCCGATTACGTATCTTGCGTTACTTGTAATGCGTTACCCCCAACACTGTCTGTATCTACAATGAGCATAAGATGTTCTCCACTGGTGGAAATATTGCCAAGACAAACACTTATCATAATCCAAATAAAGTGCCAGTTGAGGTAGGCAAAATATTGGTCCTATTACTGTCAGGCATACTTCGATCTGCTTGATCAGACTTTTAAGTCAATAACACCACTGAAACAGCAGTAGCTGTATAATTTGATCCATCTATGCTTTTATACAGGGTGATCTCAGGGAACATAATACACTGTATTTTAAAGTAATTTGCAGGGCATAAATATAGATAGCATTTATCTAAAAATGTGTAGTAGATATGAGTCTAATCAAGATTTATTATTTTTTAAATATTACTACAAAGTAGGACTGTAGTATATAATGCTTATTTCTGTCAACCTATTTCTATCAGTTCTAATGAAATAGAGCTTTACTGCATGTTTGCATACAGTTCCTTGTGTTCATTGGTCCTTCTGTAGAGAACTGTAGTACTCAGCTAGGACTTTCCAAGCTTTTGGGGCCATGAAACCATCAGGGGGGTTCTCCCCGCTGCGGGCAAGGCTACGCATTTTGGTCCCCGAGATGAACTCAAATTCAACATGTCTGAAAAACAAAAAAGCAGTTGACTTGAGCTTCAGTTTCAACAACAGTCTCTGGTGAAGCAGCTGTGAGCTGTTAACAATTCTTGTAAAAATTAGTAAAGTTTTATATATACAAATTGATGTAGTGTAGTGATTTTAATACTTATTCTGCATGAAAAATAATGGATAAAAAAATCTTCAAAATAAATAAAAACAGTAGACAGAAATATTTTAGGTGTTTTTTTTTTCTTCACACTAAATACTATTTAAAGCTAAATGTGACATTCATTATAATGGGTTTTTGTGACAATTGTTCTAGATCTATTTTAAAATTAAATGTTATAAGATTAAATGATCAATAAATCAAACTAATATATATATATATATATATATATTACACACAGTCAAACCAATGTTTATTCAGGCACTTTCAACATTTCTCACATTATCACAGTTTATCTGCTATAGTCTAGAAAATGGTAATAAAATATGACAAGAACTCGAGTTAAACTGTATCAGAACAAATTCATCTTGATAATGTCAAATAACGTTGATAGAAAGGTATGTAATGAGATCTATTTTAAAATTAAATGTTATAAGATTAAATGATAAATAAATCAAACTAATATATATATATATATATATATTACACACAGTCAAACCAATGTTTATTCAGGCACTTTCAACATTTCTCACATTATCACAGTTTATCTGCTATAGTCTAGAAAATGGTAATAAAATATGACAAGAACTCGAGTTAAACTGTATCAGAACAAATTCATCTTGATAATGTCAAATAACGTTGATAGAAAGGTATGTAATGGATTTCAATCAACCAAAAATTATTCAGCTGTTAAATTTAAGTTAATACCAATTAAATTAATTAATACCAAATACAAAAAAAAAAAAAAAAAGAATTTGCAAAAAAAAAACGTTCAAGTTCTTTAAAGTATGTTCATTTATACACTCAATACTTGGTCGGGGCTCCTTTAGCAGTACTTCAGCCGTGCCACACCTCACTGATGCTGTAATTTGTGCTTAAGGAGCCCCCACCTAGTATTAAGTGCATAAATGAACATACTTTAAAGAACTTGAGCTTTTCTGTTTTGCAAATCCTTTTTTTTTTTTATTATTGATCTTAGGAAATATTCTAATGTTTTGAGATGCTGGATTTTTGACTTTCATGAGCTGTAAGATCTAAACATAAAAATTAAAACAAAAACTTAAAACTTTCAAAATATTTTACTTTACATGTAATGAATCTGGAATATATGAAAGTTTCACTTTTTTTAAAATAAGTTACAAAAAATGTACTTTTTCACAATATTCTAATTTTTTTTTAGATGCACCTGTATGTATGTACAGTATGTATGTACAGTATGTATACATATATATATATATGAGAGAGAGAGAGAGAGAGAGAATTGCAGTTTATACCATTTCTATGGCCATGCAATATTAAATGTCCTTTTTTATCCTTTTATCCATTTATATTAAGTATCCTTAATATCTTGATTCTACATTAATCTGAGAACTCAATGTGTAAATATATTCATTATTACACATTTTCATGGTGCTTAAACCATTCTAAATATTTAAGTGCAGTCCGTAGGGCTGAAATGAAATATTTGCATACCTTTCCTTGTCATAAAAGTCCATGGCCTTCTTAACTTTGTTGTATGCAGCAACTCTGAAGGGAATAATCTCTAGAGAGGTGAGGCCTGGTGCCATGGTCAGCACTTTTCCACCGTGTGTGGGCTCATACAGGTCCTTCTTTGTCTCCGGATGGGGCATACCTGCTGGATCTCGTCCTACAATGTAAAAGTTGGCCCCTGCGATCATCCTGGCCCGACAATGCCACTGTACCTATAAGGACATACCAATTTTTTGTGCAATTCAGAATTGGTTCGACTCAATGTTTTGTACTAAAAAAGGTCGAAAATGGCTACAGAAACTGTTTTCTGTTTATTAAACGGCCTCTTTTTTTTTTTTTAGAGTAACAAAAGTCTGACCTCTGTAGGCCCAGCATACATCATGGGTGAGGGGAAAATGGCCACAATGGTGTTTTCTGGATCCAACACTCCTTCATCCAGAACAGCAGCATGCTGCTTCATGCGCCAGTCCAGCGGTACATCATCCTCTTTGGTCCAGCCACCCAGAGGGTGCAGCAGCAGCACAGGCTTTTTGTAGCCTCGCTCCAACAGACGACGCTTAGTGTCCTGCA